GCTTATCATTCAGCTAAAGCTTCCCTGCTAGTTCAGAAAGGGAAAACAGGGGAGAAAAAAATTAGATGAAACCAAGATCAAATCTGGAACAGGAAACTACCAGCTCCCTCTAGCCCCCTTTTGTCTTGTTTCTTGCGATAAACTCAAAAGCATTTTGTATTAACTTGTTTTTTTATCACTTATGACTACAAAGAACATGGAGCAACCCTTGTACTAAATCAACAAAAAATTACAATAAATCAAAGAGTGGAAATAAGCAAAACCTTGCTGTCCATTTCCAAACCAGACCCCACTTTCAACCCTCACAAGATCCATCGTCCAATTCAGGGCACTTGGTACCCTCAGAATTGCGGAGCTTGATGACAGCAAACCCTCCATGAAATTTCTCACGAATCTCACAGGAACAATTGCGACATTAGCATGCATATGAACAAGAAAATCAATAACACAAAATCAAGCTCAAGGTTCAAAGCATTAGGTAAGAAAGGTAAAAAGATCGTGGTTACAAGCTTCTTATCGCGAACGGTTTGGTGGACAATGATTTTGAAGAAACAGGTCCCAGTCAAGCTATCGTTGCCGTCAGTTCCTCCCAGGTCACTAGAGGCTATCAATGACATCGCTGGTGCTATGAACATTTTAAATCGCAGCCCTCGACGAATGAACTGAGACAAACACCCGGAGAAGAAAAAACAACGAAGGTTAGGGGCGAAATCTTATGGATTGAGAAGAAGACGAAACTGGTGATCCCACGTCCCTATAACCACTAACCAGAGATGGTGTTGTTGTTGATGACTGCGAGGTGGCAGAGGGATTGTCAGAGCTGGTGACAAAATCAAAATAGACGAGAAGAATTAAGGCATGGTTGTTAGGGAACGTTGAGACGAATGTTAAGCATAAAAGAAGTTTACTATGACAACTTGCACGTACACATACCTTGAGACACTCTTTCTTTGTCATTCAGTTTCTGAGCGACCTTCTCTGTGTTTTGAGAACTTTCCCTTGTTGCCTGCAATGTAGAGTCAACAATGAGAAGCAAAAATATATTTAGCATCAGAGAATAACTAATAAACCTGGGATCCATATGTACGTTTACCTAACCACTTGATTTTCCCTCTAGTATCAATGCAGTCAAAAGCGCGATTCTACGTAGAAGCGGAAAATGGGTAAAATCGTAAAGCGTAGAATCAAAGCGTAAAAGCGTAAGTTTTTGACGCATACTGAAAAAATAACTAAAAATGTATTAAGTAGGACATATGCTATGCAAAATATGAATGCACGGAATTTAGATAAGTCAATAAATACATGCGATTCATGCCTAAAGTAGAACAACTTATAGGATCTTAATAATAAGTTTGTAAGCATAAATTTTAACAATAAGCCACTTTTTCCACTATGCTAATGAATTTGGGAAAAGCCTAACGGGTGAATTAGATTACTCTATCGAAGTTGAGAATGGATCCAAGTACCTTATATGTAACTTTTAATCTCAAATGTATCATATTGTTGGTGATTTACTTTTAAAATATACTTTTCATAATTAATTTCGTGAAAAGAATACTCATTTAGTGAACTAAAAGCGTAAAAACGTAAAGCGTTTTGGAGAACTAGAAGCGTAAAACCGTAAGCTTTTAAGCTTTAAAGCGCAATTTAGTCCGATTTTATACACTTAAGTTTTTATATGAAAACGAAAGCGTTTTGGTGACCTAAAAGCGTAAAATCGTAAGTTTTTAAGTTTTAAAGCGCGATTTTGACTGCATTGTCTAGCATTACATCTAAGTTTGCAGTATGGGGTTTAATATTTCAATGCAGAGGGTTTTAGGACATTCAGAGGTCATTGAGATAACCAGGGGGAGAGATAAGAGTGTTATCCAGAGAGACTTTGCATTCATAGGCATGTTTAAACCCACATTTACAGCCTATGCAGTTCATAGATTATAGGCCATTCATACCACCTACAGCTACAAAGCCATATATGCATAACAACCATATTCAGAGCCCAAAACGCAAAGTTAAGATAAGCAGAGAGGTTAGTAAAATCAACCATTTGAGAGAAACAGCCACTTTCACCCCTATATGGTTTCCCATAACGATTTTGAGTAATAAAAGAAGCGAAGTCATGCATTTGATAAAAGGATAATACCTCATTGCAGGCCAAGGGACGAATCCACATTTCGCACATGCATACAGTGCTTCGAAAGAGTACAAACAGAATACAGAGAAGCCACACCAGCAAGTCAAAGCTAAGGAGCAATTAGAGTCCTAGTTAAACAACAATTTTGATCATCAATTCGAACACTTCTATCAAGATTGGCTCTGAGTCTTCCTATAACAGAAAAAGGAAGAGGAAGGAAATATGAGAAAAGGAGTGAGTTTACTCACTTCACTATTGAGCGAGCAAAAACATAGATTGCTAGCTTTATAGAGAAAACATATGCTAAGAGATTTGGATGTCTTCACACCAACTCCTGCAGTACAAACATAAAATATGTGTGAATCTCAGTTCCACTATTACCCAATTAAGATTCATAATTCACTAGTACAACATTACTGTAGCCAGAGGATGATAACAACATTTGAGGTTTAGTCACCTGGACACGTCCTTGGCTTCATCAAAAGAATCTTATAGTGAGAATTACCAAAAACAACTGGGTCCCAGAGACTTTACTACCAAGTGTTTGAGCCCCTGATAGTGAGAATGATGTCCATCTCCTTGTAAACATTAGATTGAAGAATCTTCCTTGACATTTATTGCCATTGGATGCTTTTCTTCTCGACTATTGACCCATGCTTGATTCAATGAAGAATTGGAGCTTAAATTTGCTAATTTGATGACTGGATGCTCAATTCAAGAAGCTCTGTATCTAAATATGTGTTTAGAATTTGAGAATATCACATCTTTAAAGCAATCAACTTCAATTGAATTCAAATCAAAAGGGACAAGGGTGCATATCAACAAAAGAACAATATCAGAAAAAGGCTAAGTAGTAGCACAAGAAGAACTCATGGAGGTAGCAGAAGGAAGAAGATAAGGGGTCTAAAAAACTTACCGCCTCGGCACCCCATTTTTATTAGGGAATCCATCAACCCCTAGTGAACTTTGTACGCCTCGATGGAGTCTTTGTCGTTCTCAAAATTGACGAAAGCGTAGCTCCTGCCAGGATGGAATGATACTTTTTGAGATCGCCGAACTCCAAAAACTGTCGCATGAATTCATACTCCTCAATGGTGCGAGAAGGAATCCCCATCGCAGATGCCCTTAATGGCGGATGGCTCCCTGCTTTCCTCTTTCGCCGTTGTCGTCGTCGCATTTGAAATCAGAGTCGACAAAATCGGACTTCACAATCCCATGATTGAAGGTGGGGCACAACTGCCGACAATCAGAGAGGTGCCGGAGGAATTGTTGAATCTAGAAATCTAAGTAGGCGGAGATGAGCTGAGGCAATGTTAGGGTTAGGGATTTGTTATCGCGAGAAGAGGGTGGAGTCGTGGAGAAGAAGACGAGAAGCATTTTATTTTTAGGAGAGAGACAAGCGGGCTTTTGGACTCTTTTGGAATTTAAGTTTTTGTTTTAATCTCAAATATTCAGCGATTTTCCCTAAAATAAAAAAAAACTAAAAAGACTCTCTGCGGTTATTCCAACCGCTGGATAGGATTGCTGTTACTTGCGTATTTCAAAATTACGGCAGGGGTTTAGGGAACCGCTGATGGTGAACTGCTGGTGTATGTCTGTTCCGTTGTAGTGGGTTTGGGTTTGGCAAAACCCGACCAAACCCGACCCATTGACATCCCTGCCTGAGCCTCCATGACATCCAGTCGTAGCCAGATAGTTTGATTCAAGTCACATAAACAAAAACAATATAAACCAATCATAGACCAACAAGTAAACAATGACACCTTCAACAACAAGACACAATAAACTAATACGAATATCCCAAATAACCATAATAAACCATAATTCATTGATAAGAAAGACCCAAATAATAAACCCAAACTCGGCCACAAGGCCTGCGGACGCTATAATGCATCAGAATTCAAAAACAAAGTAAAGAAGACTGAAATTTCCCGTGCGAATGAAGCACTAGCAAGGCGGCTAATTTTTCATCATAAAACTTTGAAATTTTTTCATTAAAATAAATTAGATAATTATTTTTTTATACACAAATTCATTTTTCTACATTATTCATATGAATATCACCATGACAATCTATTAATCACGGGAAATGAAAATTCAAACGCATATATAGATTCTAGTGATGTTAGTGATATAATCAATCACGTGAATATTTTTCACGACTCTTGCTGTACTTCTCAGTACGTGAAAAAAATCAAAATTCCATGGCTAAAAATCAGTTCTCATGTAGATGATTCCAGTCTCACTGTATGTATTCTCACCCGAGTAACCCTGCAATGCAATATTGAGCAGATGATTCCAGTCTAGCTAACAAGTCACCTAACCTAATTAATATCGCAGCAATATTATTTGTGATACATCCCGACACGAGGCAATTGAAATTTTAATGTATAAAAAGTTTGACTCCTTTGCTGACGATGGCCGCCCAAACGTGACTTCTCTCTGTGTTTAATTTGTTGGCTTCTATCTTAATTTGTTGGCTTCTTGCTGACGTAGCTTGCCCAAGATAATTTCTTACATATATTTAGTAATTTTATTTTGAATGGAGGGGCCATCATCAATCTTGGCCACGAACCCAAAACTACAAGATTCAGTAAGAATAATATATTTTTCCCCTCACCTCACTTACTTCCTTTCTAAACCCCGTATTTGATTTCCTCCCATTAGATAACAATATATACACAAACAATCCCCAAAACCAAACAACCAAACAAAAACAAATGTAACACCACGACATGATTTGCCACATCACGCCTCCACTCTCTCCCTTTGTATCGAGTTTGAGTCACCACCCACACGAGCCGCTTCTTCCCCCTCTTTACCTTCCCATATTACTCAAAGGCTGCCTCTTTCCCTATATTTTTTTCCTGTCCACATGAATTATAACTAAGAGGTCCCCCCAACGAAAACCCACATGAATTATTATTAGCAACGCGACGTACGTCGGAAAATGAAAGCAGGTTTGGAGAGGGTTAGCTCGTCATTAGCGGCGGCGCCGTTTGCCGGGATGGTTGGGATGGAAGGCTGCGCCATTGCACTGACGATAATGGCGAAAACGGTGCTGTCGGGGGGGATGGTGAATCGGATGGTGATGAGCCCTTACGTGTTCGTCGTCTATGTAAATGCGCTCGGGACTCTCTTTCTGTTTCCCTTTTCCTTTCTCTACCATAGATCGTGGTGGTTGGGATCTGGAGGAGGAAAGAATAATGAGATTCTTGAAGAGAAACAACAGCTACAGCAACAGCAACAACAGCAGCCCGTTTTCCCGCTACTGGTTCGCTACTTCTTCATGGGTTTTACCGGGTGAGTTCTGTTTGTTATTATCGTGTCTAAATGTCATTGGGGGTGAACATGGTAAACTAAAAAGAGCGGTATGAGATCTATGGTTAACGTTTTTTCTTAACAATTTAAGTTAGCAACTCAGTTTAAACAATTCTAATCATGGGAAGAGAGTTAATGACATAAACATATGATAATATATAGACTTATAATAACCCTCATATATTATGGTGATAACGTAACATGAAGTATGGTAGGAAAAGATAATAGTGTTATAAGAACTGAATTGGATCAATGGTTGAGATAGTAGAACCATTGAAACAGTAATATAGTAGTTCGGTTCATTTGATTGGAAGGTATGAGATGGATCAAACGGTTTTTAATGCTTTAACATGAAACTAGATAAACCATCCCGATTTAACTGGTAGATTGGTTCGCTATTTTAACCACAAAGAGAAAAATCAACGTAAATTAATTAGACTATCCAGCCTCAATCAAGAAATCTATTTATGCTTCCTTTTGTTTTCATTTCTCAACCTCCTTGTTGCATTTATTTGGTTCACTATGGATTATCACCCTGGTATTCTGATTATTGTTTGAGATAGTTTGAATGCTTTTGCTAGAACTTTTTGGTGACAGATGATATGAAATTGAAATTGTTTATGGTTAGTGATAAATTCACTCATAAATTATTGTATTATATGTGTCTTCTATGAGCGCATGAATTTTCTATCAACGGTTAACCAACGATCCTATAACGATTAACCTGTTACACCACCGGCCACTAACTTTTTTGGTTCATGATCCGGTCCAGTTCTGAAAACATTGCATGATAATATAGATAATTCTAATACAATTTTTCCAAAATATATAAAATGAATATAAATTCATTTTTGCAATGCCAATTTTATTTAAATCCACATTAAAACATTAAAGACACCCCTCGTCAAGAAAACTAGACATACTGAAGTATAATTTAATCTGAATCATTAAATTTATCCAAGCGCTGAAATTCTGTTGTGAAATATTGTATATTTTTTTATATAAGAAAATACTGCTTATTAACTGGTAATGAAATATAACGGATTTACGAATTTAGAGCCGACAAAAGCATCTAGTCATTGTTTTTGGATGACGGGGGTCCAGGTCCATCCATTAATTAAATTTAATTGCAGAGATGTTAAAAGCCACCTAATTCTAGTTGTCATCCATGGGCCTGCCAATTGATATCCGGGCCGCATTAAACCGGGCCTAATATATTTACCCACTGGATCTCCGGCCCTGCAGGATAGCCCTGTCTCAAAACCTCGCGTTTATGGGCCTGGTCTACAGCTCGCCCATCGTCGTATGTGCAATGGGCCTCTTGATCCCTGCCTTCTCCTCCGTCCTTGACGTCCTCCTTGGCGGCAGAGCCATCAAGTCAACAGACTGGTCAACCTCAACCTTCAAGTTCAAGCTGATCGGAACCTTGATCTCGGCTGTGGGAGCAATCACAGTGGTAACGTACAAAGGCCCTTACATACGAGAAGCTCGCCCGTCTCCTTCCCCTCATCTCCAACAAAAACAGCACCGTTTCGTCTTCTACTCGTTGGCTGACGCCGACAGTTGGGCCGCCGGCTGCCTCCTGCTCGCCGCTTCTTCTCTCTGTGTCTCGATTTGGAACTTCCTCCAGGTATCGTACGAAATCATCCGTCGTCGACGACGGCGCGGCGAACGTTAATTACATTTTATTCGGCGTTGATTCGGGTTGGATGATGAATATTGATGACCAGTATGGCAATTTGTGTATGTACGGACAGTCGGACACAGTGAAACGAAATCCCAAAGTGATGGAAGTGGCGTCGTGTTATAACTTAGCCGGGACTGTTCAATGTGCAATGTTTGCTTGGATCGTAGAACGAGACCTCGGTGCCTGGAAAATCAAGCTTGTTGGCCTGGAATCTATGGTCATTTTGGTCACGGTGAGTTCTTTATTTCATGGCGGGAACAAATAAGTAACACATTGTACACTTAATATTGTCTAACTCTTTGGTACCTTATTTATCTAACATGTGGAGTAACAATTTTCCATGTGACTGACTAGGCGGTCTTCGGAAGCATCATTAGGAGCAGTGTTCATATCTGGAGCGCAAGAGCGAAGGGTAGTTTATATGTAGCCATGTTCCAGCCATTCAGAATTGTTTGGGCTACATTTTTTGGTGTTAGCTTCTTTGTGAATGGTCTGCACTATGGAAGGTAACTAATTAATTTTTTACCCTGGTTAAAAATTTAGGGTTGTGTTTTTGTTTTTTATGACGATTCTGGATTTTTATGATGAATTTGTTGCGTTTTGTGGTATGATAGTGTGATAGGAACAGTGGTGTGTGGAATGGGGTACTATACGATACTGTGGGGGAGGATCAAAGAAGATGAAGGAAGAAAAGTGTATGCTGATGATGTCAAGTGTTCTTCGGATAACAGAGCCCCGTTGCTTGTCAAGGACAATTCCCAAGTTTGATCAAGAATTTGTTTACCTAGCTAGCTAGCTACCCTGTCTGTCCACTTTCTAGAGAGTGTAAAAATTGTACATTGTCAAGCCTAGCTTTTGTTTTAAAAAAAAGAGAGTCAAGCCTAGCTGATCCATCTTTTCTAGTGTGTGGAGTCTAGCTAGTAGCCATTTGATGATTTGAACATAAACAACTAGTTTATCCAACCTGTTTATCGTTTAGTTATTTTGTGAGATTGTGTGAAAGTTTGAAACTACCCAACGGCCAATACGGAATACTAAACACTTATACTAGCTTTGAGCTCGGCTTGTGGCGTTCAAAGTAGTAATTGTATCATCATGTAACATTTGGAGATGAAATAATTTATATATATGGGGCAAAGGCAAGCGTACGCTCGGACGTACCCTAGCTTACCGTACGCCCATTGAGTTTTGCTATTTAGACAATGAATTAATCGAAGTTTCACTAACCCAAAGCATAATATTCAATTAATCTTGAAATGAAAATCAACGGTTCTGATTCATTTTAAGATTAAACGAATCTCATGATTTGGGTTATAAAACTAGGGAGGGGGGTTTATCCATTAGTGGTTAGGGTATAGTATCATGTCCAAAACTCCGGTTAATTCATGATCTAAATAGCAAAACTCAAACGGGCGTACGGTAGTCTAATGTACGCCCGAGCGTACGCTAGCTATATATATATGGTGCCTTATATACTTATATGTATAATATGTCTCTCTATTATGTCGTTTTATCAAACATGTCCCTCTATTATTTTTTACATCAAACATGCTCCTGTACTTTGGAAAAATTATCAAACATGCCCTTTTGTTAAAAATTCCATTAAAAATTTCGTCAACCACTGTTGAACCAAGATTTAGACGACCCGACATCGGTAAATGGGAGGAAAAATGTCAGTTTTGTCCCCCGAATTATTTCTCTAGGTCCCGTTAAAGTGAAATTATTAGAGATATTTGGCTCTAAAAAAAACCCAAATAATTCTAAAGTAAAATTATCAAGGATATTTTAGACATTTGTGTCGCTCAAACCAAGATTCATTCGTGGTTGACGGTTTTTGGATGAAAATTTTAACAGAATGGCATATTTGATAATTTTTTCAAAGTCTAGGGCATGTTTGATGTAAAAAATAGTAAAAGAACATGTTTGATAAAATGACATAGTAGAAGAGCATATTATACCTATAACCCTATATATAAAGATAATATTAGTTTGTAGTCGACATTGAATTTAAATTTATGTGTAAATGTCTTTTGAAATTTGACGAAAGAATACTAGACTGATGGAGAACAAAAGGAATATAAACATGTCAAACTATTAGGGGCCAGATTTTCTAACCACACCACACAGACACCATCGACCTCTAAAGGCGAAAAATAAAAATATTTGGAACTAATTGTATAGGCTACTGTTTTATGTTATATCCATGATCAATCTTAAGAATAAAATAATAAATTCTTAATTGTATCAAAATCATTAAGAACGTCAACTTTTTTCTTCTACACAACTTTTTTCAGTTTGCAGGCATGGATGACCCGTTGGTGGCTGAAGCCCTTGCTCTTCGTGAAGCGGTTCTCTGGTGCCGGGACTCGGGGTTTACGGAGGTGCGCTTTGAGGGGGACGCCAAGGTACTTATTCAGAAGATTGCTCAGGCGAATACTAGGGATAATAGAGTGGGGGCGCTTCTTGAGGAGATTGTGGGAGTGCTGGGTTCGATGGGAGGTTTCTCGGTCCGGTTTGTAGGTCGGCGTAGTAATAGGGCAGCCCATTTGGTGGCTAGAAAGGCTCTTTCGTTGTACCCGACTACAAGTCGTTGCTTTAATCTGCTGGCCTGGCTAAATGCCAGGATGTAACTACCTTTGTTTCTGATCAATATATCGATTATCTTTTGGCAAAAAAAAAAAAACAATTGAATTGAAATTCCCACATGCAAAAGAGCTAATCACTTGAGTCTGTGCAAATTATTGTCAATGGTTAGCACGTATCAACAACTACTCCATCATAGGCCAAGTTTAAATTAAGATGACATTGTTGTATAGTCGTAATCAAGCTCATAGTTTACTCGGGTCCTGGTACCCTAGCCTACTTCCCACCTAGTTGTTAATTAGTTAATCGGTTCTGGAGGTTTGAGTGGAGGATTTGAGGGAACTACTAGTTTAGAGATTGAATAAAGATAAAAGCAAATACTTCGGGGAACTATTCCTCACCCTAGCGTAGGGCCACTATGTATATCTAGATACTTAGGGTTATCGAATGTGGTGAGTGATCTTGTTTCCCTGGGCTTTCGTGGTTATCCACACACCTCCGAGTAGGCCTCCCCTAGACCCATATAAAGTCACCTCGATCTAGGCTATCGTATCTGGGGTACTAAGCTCATAGCTCCTTTCAATGGATACTATCCACTTTCCACACCGAGGTTTTATCCCGGGTTCTATCTAGGAAGGCTATCTATAGCAGGGGTTCGGTCGCCTCGACCACCATAGGTCCCTATTCATACATCTACCTAGATTTGCTTGATGACGCATACACGTCTAATACACTATGGCAGCGATCGCGAGTCGTGGCGGCTATCTACCTCGCGGTCAAAATGCACTATGGCCGTGATTCGACTGAGGACACTCTCTGTTTCTCATCGACTCCTTCTTAGCGAAGTTCGCGCCCTGAGCCCTCCGATTCGCGGTCGCAATCTTGGGCTTCCAGGCCGCGTTCTTCGGCTTGTCTTCCCGGTTCAGGATCTCGATCGTGATCTTTACTTCTAGGTCATGATCTTCAGTCTTCTACCTCTTGGTAAATTTGTGACCTTGTTTTGTACCTAATTCGCATATATCGTCTAACACACCCTAAAATCACATCGAATTCAAATAGGAACTGAATAGAGATGCAATTGACGATGTTTAAGAATTTATGTACATGAATTGGCACGAAATAAACCTCAATATGAAGGGTAAATAATATCAATTTAAGTGTTATCAAGAGCCTTGATCTCTAGGAATACGTGGTTAATAACTTTTTTTGTTTCAACAAATACTTCATTTAAAGTATCCAACAAAGATTTTATGAAATAAAAAAATTTACATGTCTCAAGTACTAGATGGATCTATAAGAGATAAAGTGAGAAGTGACAAAATTATTGTTAGTGTCTTCTTTTTTCTTTTTTTTTTTTTGCCAAAGTTATCCCGGGAGGGAAGCAGCGAAGATACGACAAAATACAAGGCCTCCTAAGACCAGGCTAGGAAAATTAAATAAATAAAACACGATCCAATCAAATTTGTGGATAACTCATGACCAACCGCATCCATCCACCACACACCCAATCAAACCTGAGTTACAATAATCGTGGATAGCGAGTCATATATTATATGAACTTTTTAATGAACGAGGGGTCAATAATCAATATGAAAATCAAAATCCACCCAACCCACTCATTGCCCACCCTACATATAATATTGTTTAGTAGGTCAACTATTGAGTTAATAACCCAACTATCAAAATAAATATAAAATTAATAATATTAATATTAATTTTTTCTTGTAATTCCGTCCATCCACATACTCTCATATGTTCTTAGTTCACTTACATAATATATGATGTCAAGTCAGTCCAGGGAGAGTCCATTGTTCAAATTTTATTTTATTACGTAGGAGCTCCTAATTCCTGACTCCAAATGTGATAGTGCAATAATCGATTAATTACTTGACAGCAAGCAGTATTAGATAGCAAAAATACGAGCTAACCATCATAATAATAATAATAATAATAATAATAATAATAATAATAATAAGCGAGCTGCAAATGCAAATGCATATGAGAAATGAGTATGACAACGCAAAAGCAGCTTATTCAATTGAACAAACAACCATAGATATCATAATAGCACGCCTCGGACTAGATCTCCCAGCTTTCTGGACCGGAACAACTAGCCGCGCGCCCTTCTTCTTCTTCTTTAAGCCGCCAGAGCCAGTTCATCAACTTCCTTGAAGTTCTTGACCACAAAGTCCTTGATCACGTGCGGAACCTCCACATCGTCGCTCACCCTCTCGTACTCGCACGTCCATTTCACCAGGCAACCTTCCTCCTTGGGAGCAACCACGATGTGGCCTTTGAAACTGCAGTAGTACTTGAGCAGATCCCCTTCGATCACGCTGTACGACACCGACCTCTTCTCCTCGTCCACGCTGTCGATGCTCTCCTTCGACACCTTCACCAGCGGAGATCCTGTAAAACCCAAGACCACGATGTACTTTCGTTGTATCAGAGAGTGGTATAAGATCCAGCATAATTTTTTTTTTCCAACAACTCGAGTTATTGGGACCAACTGGTTTATGACACAGTGATCTGAAGTACGAAAAACCCTAACCTTCAGCATAGGTGAAGAGGCGAATGGAGCCGGGGGCCTTGCCGTCGCCCTGGAGGACCTCGATGCTCTTGTACTGGTCGGGGAAGGCCTTGGGGAAAAGAGTGGTGGAGTTTCTGATGTTCTCCCAGAACTTGTCCGCCGGGGATTTGATCTCCACGTCCACTTCCAGAGTCCCAGCTCTTGCCATTGTTTCTCACAATGTGGAGTTATTGAGAGTAAATGAGAGGAGTGTATGTGGGTAGATGTGTTTACGACTTGGATGGTTAGATTGGAGGGAATGGAAATGGATTTATACTACTTACTGAGAAATGGGTCGGTCGGCGAGTTGATGAAAGCCGTAGATATGGTTGTTGGCTGTGTAAATCGCCGACGGTTGTTGGGTCGTATTAAACCACAACTGTCTAGGTCTGACTCTGACTCTGAGAGGGAGGCATCATCAATGTAGTAAGGTGGAAATGGATCCCATAAGAGTAAATTCAGGATAAGGTGCGCACCGTCGAGGAAATAATGCTACTTGGGGTCCATATTCATTTTTTATATGTTAAGTAATTGTAGATAGCTAGATATATAGATTGATTGGCAAGTGGCTGTTGCGTAGGTGTTTTAATTTGTTACCATGAGGCTAGCTTAAGTCAGTCAACTTCTTCACTGCTTCTCGATATAGTTTTTTTTTGATAATGGTGAAGCTTTATTAGAAAAAACAAAGGAACAGGAGTACAGGAACAGGGCTCAAGAGGGCTGAGCAGCCTGAAAAGAGAACAGAAGAAAACAGAGAACGGGAAAACAAGAGACAAGGAAAAAACACAAAGCACAGTTAAATGGGTCGGACCATTCCTACTGTGAGGAAACAAAAGGCCTACAACAGAAAGCCAACACCAACAGCGTCTTCAACAAAACTGAATATGATCTGTCCCTGGACCCTGCAAGCCGAAGACGAGATGCTAGGCACAACACAGAAGCAGAGGAGAGCAGGAAGAGAAAATCAGCTGGTGGTGTAGAGCACTCTCCTCCTCTGATCGTGGAACCATTGGCGCCCTTCTTCCTTGGTGATTTTTCCCATGGCAATAGGCCACTCAAGCATGGATTTGAAGGCTCTTCGGGCAATGGTTGTTGGACCCTGTTTTGCATCTTGGAAGGTTCGCCTATTTCTTTCAAGCCATGTCTGCCAACATACAGCATGAAGAGCACAGAAGTTGATCCAATCATCCGGGCTGTTGGGGGAGCCCGAATACCACTCGCTGATTGTTGATGTAATATCTTCTCTGACAAAATCAATTTTTGGGCAAGCATTTCTGCATCTTTGCCACACTTCTTTTCCAAACTCGCACTTAGTGAACAAATGACCAACGGATTCTTCGTCTTTCTCACAAAGAACACATCTATTGGCGATGAACCATCCCTTTTTCTTGAGGTTGTCGAGTGTTTGTATCTTCTTCAAAGTAGTTAGCCACAGAAAAATGCATACTTTGCTTGGAATGGTGGACTTCCAAACAGACTTGGCTGGGAAATTGAGTACTCCCGGGAATCTGCTCTTCACGAGGTACCTGTACATAGAATGGACAGAAAAGGATTTCTCTGGATCGGGAAGCCAGACGGGGCGGCTAGGCCCGCTTGTAATCCTAACGTTAGCATGGACATTAAGGAAATCGATCAAATGAGAGAGCTCAAGCTCAGCACCCCCTCTCAGATTAAAATTCAAAGAAAAATCCCAAAAAGTAACATATAAGTTAGAACCACGAAGTCGGTAGGTCTGTTAGGAATGACAATGGGTCATGCAAGTTGTAGCCGTAGTGATTTGGTATCAGGTTAATGTCAATTGTCAATAGTTGAATTAGTTTTTTTTTCCGACGGATCGAAATATTTTATATAAGAGTGTTCCTTTTTAAAAACTAAAATGATATTTAAAATTCTTATCAATAAGAAAATATCCGACTAGCACAAGGTACAACAAAAATCCACGACGTGTTATCATATTTTGACAAAAATGTAAAATTACATTCACCTCTACAGTGCTGAACAAATCTCTTTCAATATAATCCACTCGACAATCTTTCACGAACTCGTCGCCTATTCGATTTTAAAATTTGTTCTTAATGGAACCCAATGCTGAAAAAGCTCTCAAAACATTTGGAGTTGAAACCAGTAAAATCGATATAACTTGGGAGGAAGAAATAGACCCATAAGTATGATATATTCAATTGTGTCTCCACCGTCAACTCCGATAATTCATCAATTCCTTTTAATTCCAAAATAAATCATCGTTTTTAAGTTTTAACAGAATGATAATAATTCTAAAAAAAAATAATTACAAAGCTTACCAAACTCCTCAGACGAAATCCGGATAATGCAGTGGGGATAAGGGCCGGGGTCGTTTGTGGGTTTAAATTTTAGGCTTTGGAAATTTTGGAGATAGGGGGCTACATGTTTATATTTACAATTATGAAAAAATTACAACAACAAATGAGTGTAATGTAGTCAAATAAAAAAGATGTTTACTAATAATTACGGTGTGATAGATTAGAAATACATGTTATACCATTTCAAATTCTCACACTCAAACTAATACTGGAAATTCATTTATTTTTCTCACAAATTTCAGAGATATCACAGGACACCCCTACTACCATCCACTTGGGTCTGCCCCTGTTGGGAACAAAAACCCCATTTGAATATGCATCTCAAATTAAAAAATATAGAAAAAATTAATTTTATTTTAAAAAGTTTTAGAAACAACCCATTCATAGGTCAAAAGCGTATAGCTTCAATTCCTATCTTGTAGTAATCCGGAAAGTCCGGGTATCGTCTCTCAGGGACTGGTACAACCTTAAGTTCTATCAATTTTGTAGAGCAAACTATATATAGGTGAAAATGGTTTAATGAGATTATTAACTACTAGCAAAATAAATAAACTAATTAAGTAAAGTAAAATGGTCGAGAGAAATTCAATGGAGAAAGCTCTGGGAGAAACACCGGGATTCACTACCTATCCTATCCAGATTAATTCACATATTCCAATCAATTTAATCCATATCTCTACAGCCAGGATATCACTACTGTGCTAGCTATCCCTGTCGGGAATTACTACGTACTAAACAATTAAATCAAATCCTACTGTCGTAGCTCAATGACTTAATTATTTAGCCTGAAGATCGATATCCTATTTAAGACCGCATATCATCTTATTTAATCCACTGTCACTTCGATAAGTTACTATGTCACATGAAATATGTTCAGTTATTAGGGTTTTACTGTCGCTAATAACCTAATTAACAACAAATCAATGTATTGGTGGCCAGTCAACACAAAGCATTAAGCAATTTCATGCAATAGAGATTGGAAGAAACAACGACGATCAAATCCAAACCAACACAAACTAATTAAAGATGGTCTACAGAACGAGAGGACTAGACCATCTTATTATATGCTCGATTGCTTTGAAGTAAAAAAGAAAGTAGCCAACAGTACTATATATCCATCGCATGCTCGACAATCGAATCTAGTCTTCGCTCTTTTCCTCTTCATGGGCGGTTGCCGCGTCCCCTCCTGAGATAGTCGTCCAAATCCTGAAACGCAGTCTGCATCACATTCTTGAGGTTGTTGATGTCGGCGTTACCCTTGGCGCTGTCGTACGTGAATGACCAAGTCATTGTGCAGCCCGTGGCCCTGAGGTTGGTGCGGGAGGAAGGCACCACGGCCGTGGTGATGTCGACGCTGTCGAACAGCCGCGGCACGAACGCTCCGTCGTCGTTCATCGTCGTCTTCACCGTCATGTTGGAGTGGTCGACTTCGAGGATCTCCTCCCTCGCCGATCCCACTACCCTGCTGTAAGCTGCGGCCGGCCGGCGGTTACACCAAATTAATTAATTAAGCAAAATAACTAGTGCATGGTTCAACTATATATATGTATTATTAGAGAAATTTTACAATGCTATATAACATTGGTGCTATAAGTTTTTGTCTTTATGGTATAATTTCAAGTTGTACCTTTAACGTTATGGTATAACTTCAACTTGTACCTATACTAATTTACAAATTCTTTTATGGTACAACTTGAACTTGTACCTGTATGTGATGGTACAATTTAAAGTTGTGAAGTTGTACCATAACATAAAGGTTCAAATTCCTTTATGATACAACCCAAATTTATACATTTTACATTATGGTACAACTTTAAGTTGTACATTAAAACACACATATTTTATAACATAATAGAAGTGCTCGTATTATTATAGAGTCAAAAGTTAGGTGTTACTGAAGGCGTACCAGGGCCAAAAGTGATGTCGCGGATAGAGCCTTCGGTGAAACCGTCGCGGCGGCTGCGCTTGATGCCGGCGTAGAGATTGGGCATGGCCATGGGGAAGACAGCTGTGGCGGCGGTGACGGCGCTCCAGACGTCGCTGGCGGAGGAGAACATCCTGAAGGTGACGGTCTCGGTAACTAGAGGCATCTTTTTTTTTCTTTCCTTTTACGGCAAAAAGCTAGTTCAGGCAGCGGAAATGAGGTGGAAGGATGTTAATGTATTGGAATATTCAAACTCTGGGATGAAATTTTCGTTCTTGATGTAGGGTTATTTATAGTGCTTGCTTGCTTGCCTGCCTTCTAGAGTTCTAGTTCCCACCTTCCTTTCATTTTCCTTCTTTTAATTTCAACTAATTATTTATCGGCAAAATAGAAGTCTCGTTTCAACTTGTCACCTGCATTAGTCTAGTCTACATCCCAGTTTCCATATTTCCTAAATAATAATAATAAAAACTCATTGTGGATATTGTTTTATAGATTTTAATTGATATTGTTTTCGTTCCAAAAACATCTGCAAGAAAAAGATAAGAGTCTGTTATTCCTCCGCGCCGATCCATTGACACCACACATCTTCATCTAATACAGCTCTTCCTTCTGTGTATAATGGAGGGGGGGAAAAATACACAGAATAAAAAAGGACTATACTATTTTTCATTATGAACGCGACCGGCTAGTGTTTTTACAGTAAATCTCAAGCAAAATTTTGAATCCGTTTTCACAAACAATTTATAAACACATGACAGTCATCTTGTCACGCGGGTGGAATGTTGGTCAATTGCATCAGGTTCAATCGATAGAGGTCATGAAACCGGGTTGAACATTATCGGTATGACAGATATGATTGATTTACGATATTTAAAAAAAATTATTTTGTTTTAGCGGAGTTAATTAAAAAATAATTTATTTATTATTTATTTCATGTAAAAGTTAAATAGTGATTTTAATTGTTCGAATAAGTATAAATGTTTAGATATTGGCGTTAAATAATATTGTATTCAAATATTGATATTTGTTATTTTGTTTGAAATATCACCTTTTATTTTAAATATGAATATAGATTCTAAATAAATTGTCTTCAAATATGTTTTATATATGATTAAATTCATTCGATTTTAACGATTTTTACGTTTTAATATATTTTGTTAAACCGACAATAACCAAAACAGGTTATTCAATTGGATCTCCCTCGGCCACGCAAATCACTCTCCCCAAGAACTGAAACAAACCAATTGTATCATCCGTATAACCATTCACTTGTTAAACCGGCACAAGAATCTAAATCATTTAGACAGCTTTGCCTGATAGTCACAAACAAGGGTTGTTCTACTAATAATACAACAAGTTCGATTCTTTTCAATAAAACCTAATTATAAAAATAAATGTATGCCTCCTTTACCTAAAAAAATCTCGTGATTATTGTCGAATTGGAGCCGTAAACATAATACCTCCATTGACAAAAAAAAAAAGTTTATGAGATCATCCTACTGTACGTAATCCATGATGTCGTCATGCTAGAGATAGCGCTAGCTATTCCCCATCCCATCCATTGACGGACCTAATTACTTGGCCATAATTTCGATTTACTAGAACAATTATTTTGTCACTTTCATTTTTTAATTAATATATTCTCATATTTTTTATATAAACTTGTTGGAACCTTCTTCGTATTGCATGTGAACATGTAGATACGAGAATATATAATGATAGCAGTGGCGGAGGCTGCCCTATTGGGCATTGTCCCGGGACAGGGGTAAATTTTGAGATGAACAAAAATACTTCATATATGTTTATACGAAGGATGGAACACAACATCATTGTACTTCGTTACTATGTTACAACTCATTATTTATCATAAATTGACAATAAATTAATTATTATACAATAAATGAAATCTCAATTGGAATAGATCTCTTTTCTTTATATGCCTATTCGATTATTTGCAAGCAATCTTTAAGTAGTCCAGTGGCAGCGCCGATTCCACTAGTTTTGATGGCAAGTGTCGATAAAATATTTTCAGCTTTGAGCTATCTAAAGAACGAACTTTGAAGTCGAACTCACGATCAGTTTGCTAATGGTTGTTTAGTGAGATTCATTGAAAAGGACTTACTTAAGTGTGTAGACAAAGAATGTATTATGTGTTTCTTCCGAATATGAAGACTCGTCATGGTTGTTTATGAAAATATCGATGGTAATAGTAGTTATTTTTTATATATGAAAATAAACTATTTAGATATTATTAATTAATTATACTTATTAAATATTTATATATTTATAATACGAAAAAATGGCAGGGGTAGTTTCAAATCCTGCCTCCGCCACTGAATGATAGTACATTGTTCACAAAAGAAAATCCCTTCTGAGTTCAAAACTATCATCCAAACTTCGGGAGAAATTTCGAGTAGGTCGGTCTTCTTGTCATTTTCCTTTCTTGTATAACATCAGTCGGCCGACTAAGTTTTGTTCAGTAATAATAGGCCGCAGCTTCTTCGGAATAATGCGGAGACAAGCTTGCAATAAAATGGGTTAATCACATAAATAATTTTTTTTTTTCAATTTATCATCAATATAGCGGATTAAAAAGTATTTACACAAACATTCTGTATTTGTGTAAGGTTATAGGCACAGCCGCCAGAGACCCAGGCGGACCGCTTTTTGAATCCCTAAAACCAGTCTTAGGCGCTGACGCTGGAGACTCAAGCGCCCCCGCCATTCCCTCAAATTATTTTAAACCGCGCGACGCCCTCTCCACCTTTCCTTTCTTATCCACTTCTTCCTCTTCCTTCCCACACCACAGCCCCCAACCTGCTCGTACGAAAAACCAAACCCACCACCACGCCGCCGTTGCCCCACAACGCCAAGGAGGACGACCCTGCCGCAGACAGAGGCGACCCCGCTGCAGACAGAGGCGGCAGCGCCTGAGTTCAACCTCGACGGAGCAGATGTCGTCCGACGAAGAGGAAGCAGTCGCCGACAGAGGCAGGGGAGAGGCCGGCGAGGTCGTGGAGGCGGCAGTCATTTTCGTGGCGAGAATCTCGTCGGCGGCGACCAGAATCTCCCTGGCGCAGGCCGGAATCTCGCCGCCGGCAGCTTGTTTTAATTGTTTTTTAATTAATGTTTTTGTTGCTTTTGTAGTTCCTAGGCTTATGGACAGTTATTCCATGAGACTACCATCTGCGACAATTTATCCAAATCCGGTCGATCCGGTACTTCTTTGTGGACATGGTCAACATCGTATCGACTCAGTTTGGATAAACAAGGTAAGTATTTCATAACTATTTTTGTAAAGTTAATTAGCTAGTTAGATTAGACTATTTTACTAGGTGATTTGAACTGTATTGAAATTAGAATAAGATTAAGTATCAAATTTTTGAAATTAGCATAATTTTAGATTAGATTAGATTAGATTAGATTTTACTAGGTGAAATTAGAATTATTACAAATGAAATTAAATTAATATAAGTTTTGTGCACTATAGGCTAGTGTTCGACCTTACCATGTTCAAGGCACGACCAATTTAATCACGTACCATGAGCGTTATCTGCCATATCTCAGAGCGGCGGGCTTGTCTAGTGTTTTGCCCCTGGTCCCTATGAATGCTGATGCGAGTTTGATTACTGCGCTCGTAGAGCGTTGGCGACCCGAGACGTCGACCTTCCATTTGCCGTTTGGTGAGGTCAGGATCACGTAGAGGACGTTTTGACACTGACTGGTCTAGCGATCGACGGTGATGCCGTCGTAGTAGACATACCGGATGAGGAGTGGTCGGAGATCTGTTTGAGACTGTTAGGACGAGTTCCTGATGATCTTTCTGGCGGTGTCATTAGGATTGTTTGGCTGAGGGATGAATTCAATCATCCGCCGGGAAATGCATCTCAGGAGGTTACAGAGCAGTTTGCACGATCTTATGCTCTATCTCTGATGGGAGGTGTACTGTTCCTGGATCAGTTTGGAGCTACAGTGCACCTACAATACCTACTTTTGGTGGAGGATTGGTAGAGAGGTGGACGGTTCGCCTGGGGAGCAGCTGTTTTATCCTACCTGTACCGTGAGATGGGTAGGTCGGCTTTGCACATTACGCATTCCTCCACTTCTCTAGGAGATGACCTTGGTGGATGGGTCCCCTTACTGCAGCTCTGGGCGTGGGATTGATTCCCATATCTTACACCGCGACATTCAGAGACAAGGGCGCAGATTGCCGAGGACGCATCCCCATGTGGTGTTCGATGGCTTCCGATCAACACTCATCAGTATGGTGACCAATATTCCAGTACAAGTTGTGGTTTGCCGAGATGGATAAAATGGTGGTTAGTATATAACATTTCATTTTATAGAATAGTTTTCATTTGTTTTTTTTAGCTTTAGGAGTAATAACGTGACCATTTTTTGTGTGTAGTGGCAACCTTACGTTGAGAGAGCACTGATAGACCATTGATTGCACATGTTTTTACCCCTATTATTGAGCCGTTTGAGATGTCGATTCCCGCGTTTTAGGCCGATTTCACGCTAGGTTGTTCTTGTTTGTGATATTTCAGGTCCTAGCACGTGAATGAAGGCTTGGGAACGAGTTCTGGGTCGATTGGACGAAGATAGGACATTTCGCGGGAAGCTGATGGAGCCACACGGGCACGCCTAAAACCTACACGGCCGTGTGACCTGGCCGTGTGGCACCAAATTGCACGGGCAAAGTCACACAGGCCGTGTAGAGGACCCCTTGTGGCCGTGTTAAGGCTCGGTAAATCCCACACGGGCATCCTGGAACTCCACACGGCCGTGTGGGTCGTGGCCGTGTAGGAAGTCTGAGCCACTTATCAAAACGCCGCGGTTTGCAAAAAGTCACACGGGCAGCTGGGGAAGTCACACGGTCGTGTGGCCTGGCCGTGGAAGTCAGGATTTTTTGTTTAAAACCTAATTTTCAGCCACAAGTGAAGGGGTTCCGAGTTTTAGAGAAAGAAAGCGATTCCTAGAGAGAGAGCGACGAACCAGAGTTCCCAAGTGCCCTAGCTTGATCTTCATCACCGTTGGAGCTCAGCTCACAGTTGGAGAAGTGTCGATTGACGACCAGGAGCAGATTCTCATCCTTCACAGCATGATTTCTGCATCTGAGCTTGCTTTTGCTTCTCTCTCCATGGAGTACCTTCCTCATTCATCTGGGTATGGAGAACCCTAGATTTGTATATTAGGTCTGATTGTATGAACCCAAGTATAGATTCTATGATTTGTTTATGTTTAATTGAGGCTTGATTTAT